CCAACCAGAGGGTAAGGGGGCAGAAGCTGCTGCCAGCTTCACCTTCCCCTTGCACTGTGCGCTGCATTGCCAGCACTGGGGTCATCTCATACACATCAAGGCCTCACTCCAAGGCAGACCCCACGGGGGTTGCTGTGGTGTAGTTCCATGTGCAGGAAGGGGTGGGGGGAGCAGCAGTGCCCTTCAGGTACTGTGGGTGAAAGTGGGACAAAGGGGAAGACCTCCCCTTGTTGGGCCCACAGGATACTAGTCTACTCCCATCCATGCATCCTTTAAACTGGAAGCTCCAGGATCACTCAGGAGCTGGGCACCCACGCATGAATCAGGAGCACTTATCACCCCACTGCAAACTGAGACTATGCCAAACATGGGATCTTATCAGAGCTGGGCACCCCCAAACTGGGATCACTACGACCCCAACAGGGACCACTGGGGATCTCAGAGAGCCACCCCCTAACTGGATTGCTGTAGTAGGGAGCACTGGGATCCTCCCGGCCTGAAACTCTTCTTACTGGAGCCATTGGGAGTCCCATCTTCACAGCATAGCAAACACCAGCTGTGCCCAAGGTCACCGGCTGACAGAGACCCACAAGGAACCCAAAGGTGGGGGTCACCACCTGTCCCCATACTTATTGCAGTCCCACAGCAGTGGGTAGAGGAGGGAAGGGGGGCCCTTTCCTAGATGCAGCACTGAGGACCCCCACAGATCAGCTCAGTGCCAGGACCAGCTGGTACCCCCTCCTTCCTTTCCCACCAGCCCCACCCCCTGCCTGCTCCAGCTGGGGGACGGAAGGGAGTTACTGTGGGTTAACTCGTTTTATTTAGACTCAAAGGTAACTGCGGCCCAGTGGGACCGTGTATGTGGGGCCAAGACCCAGTAGAAACGCAGCAGTACGTCGGGAACGGGGCAGGAGCGGGTGAGCTGCAGCGGGGCACAGCGCCCAGGCTGCCCGAGGAATGGTCAGTTGGTGAGAAGAGGGTCTACGACAGCTGCCCACAGTCGGTGATGGTGATCTTCTTGCTCGTTTTGCCATCCTTGGAGCCACAGCGCTCCATGGCCTCCACCACATTCATCCCCTCCTTGACACGGCCGAAGACAACGTGCTTTCCATCCAACCTGCGGAGAAACACCAGTCACAGCTGGTCCCCGATGTCCCCACAGGACACTTCCCAGCTGGGGACTCCCAAGCCTGTCCTCCCACAGTCCCCGACTCACCACTCAGTCTTGGCAGTGCAGATGAAAAACTGGGAACCGTTTGTGTTGGGGCCAGCGTTGGCCATTGACAGGATGCCAGGGCCTGTGTGCTTCAGGATGAAGTTCTCATCAGGGAACTTCTCCCCGTAGATGGATTTGCCTCCAGTGCCATTGTGGCGTGTGAAGTCGCCACCCTGCGAAGAGACTAGCATTTCAGGTCACAGATGCAGGAGAGCACCCTGGAATCGGGAGCAGTGTCCCCTCCGCACGCTGCAGGCAGGAGGCAGAGCTGCCCTCCCACCCCAAATCTTCCAGAATCCAACTCTAAAACCCACATGAGTGACATACCACCTCCCCACTGCGGTGGGAATGCCACGCACCTGGCACATGAACCCAGGAATGATCCTGTGGAAGCAGGACCCCTTGTAGCCAAATCCCTTCTCACCAGTACTCAGGGCACGGAAGTTTTCTGCAAAGGAAGAAAAAAATCACCATGAATAGCCTGTTTTGTTCAGAATTCAGAACACCACTTGGTTTTGGTGCAGCTGCAGTGTGGTCAGAGCTGCTTTACCTACCTGCTGTCTTGGGGACCTTGTCTGCGAACAGCTGCAAAGAAAGGAAAGACATCTATCAGGCTAGGGTGGTGACTGACCACTGTCCCCCGCTCCCCAGGGCCACCCCCAGACTGCGGGGACCCGCTGCCGGGAGGTGGATCCTAGCCGTGCCCGCAGCTGCAGAGCCCTCCCTGCCTGACGCTGATGTGTGGGAGCTCCAACTCAAAACCATCGCACTTCACATGTCACCAACGAACTGGTGGATTAAATTAATATGCCTGGAGCCTTCCCGGGCGGGGCGCGCGTCGCCTCCCAGGGCTCCGGGGGGATTTTGGGCAGGAT